AGTTCTTCCTTAGCCGATGGGAAATGTATTCAAAAAATTTCGTACGGATATGTTTGGTATTTCTTGAGTTATCGTGCTCACAGACAAACACACACACATACACACACACACACATACACACATACACACACACATACACACACACACACACACATACAAACCCAGATGATTACATAACCTCCTGGCGGAGGTAAAAACCCAGATGATTACATAACCTCCTGGCGGAGGTAATAAAAACAATACTTTGGATATTTACATAACCATCAAGGATCAATGGGGGTAATTTGGGACTTAACAGGTCTTCAGTGAATGAATAGAGTACTTGTACATAAATGGCGGGAGCTCAATTTTTTCGCGGGTTTTTTATTTTTATAACCCAAAATTAAAAAATACAAGCATGTAGCAACCCCTAGAAAATACAAGCATGCAGCAACCCCTCGCCTTTCTTAACAGATGAAGTATAAAAACTCCACATAAAGTATCAAGACCATTATAAGCAAACATAAAAACACAACTGATGAGCTAGTTTACGACTGACATATTAACATTCGCTGCAATTTCATGTATACCAGCTTGCATTAAAACACATTATTTATTGGGAATTATCGAGTTAATGGCTTTTTAAGAATTTCCGCAGATATGAATAAAATCGACAACACAAAGCAAATACGGCATGGAATTTTACTACTGAAGTGTTTACACTTACCCAAACCGGCACACAACGATTAAATTATTAAAAATATATATCAACATCAAAACATCAAAACAATAATGACTCAGGGGGGGGGCATTGCGGCTCAATGCATACAAAGTTTGTTTCACGGTTGAACAGCCACTAATTCATGAAACTGCAGGCTTATTTCCAGTTAAAATCGAAGAAAAAAAAAGTTTTGTACCGTAAAACAGCAAAATACGTCCTTTCAAAATGAAAAACAATTACTTAGACAGAATGTTCTTAGACAGAGCTTGTACTCGCGCATGCGCATAACGTCGAAAACCGTCCATGACATAAACAAAATGGAGGACAACTTTGCACTTCGCTCTGTTTTCAGATACCCGGGTACTAGAAAATACATGCATGCATGCATGCAAAAACCATCGCCTTACTGACAAAACCATTATCATGTTTTCCGCTGAACATGAAGTATTAAAAGTAGTTGTCATGGTAACACGATAATTTTAAAGTGGATGTCAAGTCCGTTCTGTGCATCGGTTCTGCTCAGGGACCAGTCATAAAGTAAAGGGGGGGGGGCTGGGAAAATCATATATTTGGTGTCTGCACTTTTGGTAGCCCACCCCTTAATGGTTGCGCGAAAATTTGTGGCCCACCCTCAAATTGGTGCTGAAAAATTATGACCCACCCTTTCAGAAATGTAAAGATACCAGCGTTCTATTTTTCTGTTGCCAAATAATTCTGTGTTACAATACTCAACAGCTATTCAAATGGTGCAATTAAAATTCAGGGCCTCTTTTAGGATGTGTATAAACTGGAAAGGACATATTTCGCTGGGGGCCTGGAGAAGTTCCAGTCGGCAAGTCTGTATCACTGCAGCTACCAGCATATATATGCATGGTTTAACTAATAAGTATACATCATAGGGCAGCAGATCAGGCCGTAACTAGGATTCTGAGACAACCGAGTCGACCACCCAAGATACGCGCTTCTGGAGGGGTCTGGGGGCATACCCCCCAGAAACGTTTGGATTTCTTGAAGCTCAGATAAGCTATTTCCCACATTTTGAGGAGTTTTCTAACAAGAAATTAGCCTTATAAACAGTGACACAATTTATACTGCAATTTCACAGTCTCCCAAATGTAACCCAGTCCTAATAAGGCAACATGGTGTGAATTGATGCGGTAATTAAAATGTGTGTGGTATAATATTATCATTCACCACACTTCAAATTCCACAGTACTGTGTTACATGTACATTATTGGGGTACTTGAAATCGACGCATTCGTCTTCTCAGTGTCACTGAAGAGCAAGATCGTGTGGTCTCTTTGGAGTATCTTTGCTTGAAAAAACTAAACTAGAATTTCGTCCTAAAATGCCATTTCATGCCTTGTTCCACAAGCAAATTATTTCACTCATAGTTTAGGTTTCTGGCGATGTTTAAATTTCAGTCCCCAAATTCTGGCCTACCGATTCAACTGATTCGGTGGACTCATGGCTAGTTACAGGCCTGCAGATGATGGTCAAATTCAGAAGTGTTAACAACATAACATCGTTTTCCACTTTGATACATAATTTCTGGTTGACCACCTACTGCAGGTAGTTCTTAGGGACCTCACTGGGGGTGGGGGGGGGAGGCAAAATTGCCGACTGGAGGTACCAGTAAGAGGGCTGGGGGAGACATGTCCTCCCCAGTTTATATGTTAAAAGAGGCCCTGGATTAAATACAGAAAGGTCTTTCTTTGCATGGAACTTCCCATGCATACTGCATTATGCCGTATCTTATAATTTCTCATAATTAGAGACCTTTAGTTTGACATTTACAGCTAACACCAAACCGCTAACGATGATTGTGATTTAACCACGCTGTTGTAGAAATTACACTAATTTTGTTACATAATAAACATCCTACACAAAATTCGTGACATTTAGCAAATGATTATCAGAAAATTAGTTAGCCACTACTAACGTATTTGCCAAGACAGTAAATTCAGCTTTTAAGTTAGAGGTTAACGTTTGCGGTATATACATTTTACACATGGATCCTGATACATTTCATTTTTATAATATGAATTTTAATACACATGCCCTTGAAAAAATTTCCGCATATTTTTACATGGCCCACCCTTATGATTGCACTTAACTTTCGATGACCCACCCCTTCAACCGTGCTCAAAAATAGTGACCCCCCCCCCTATTTTTCCCAGCCCACCCCACCCTTTTACTTTATGACCAGTCCCTCATAACAATGTGAGGACCTCTAATTTGAACATTGCCCAAATTTCGAATGTTTCGAATTTTAGTGAACATAAACCCTATTTCATATCCATTTAGAAGCATAGCGAACCAAAATGGTGTTAGATATTCAGACAGTACATCATATTTTAAAAAATACAGCAGTTCAAAATGTAAACAAACGCCGTTTGTTTACATTACGGACTTGACTTCCACTTTAAGAATAATTTTAAAATTGCAAAATCGCCCCCCAAATATCACTAAATTTAATTACAAAATTGAATCAATTTCCCAAACATATATATGCTACAATCTTAGACAAATAACATGCGGACACTGATTAAAAATGGCTGAAATTTAAAGGAATCAAATAATTATACGCATATTCGGCCGTATTCCCCGCTCCCCGTCACTGAATTAATTATACGCATATTCAGCCGTATTCCCCGCTCCCCTGTTACAATGTTGTTGCTACAGATACCGTAATAGTTGCAGCGCTGTGAATACTCGTTACAATTGTAACGCGTTACAGGCTACTCGTTACGTTTGCAGTAATTTTGGCCTGTAATTAATTACATTTTTGAAAAGGAACGAATTATTGTAATTAATTACAAAATAAAGGAACGCGTTCCTTTTGCTTTAACGAATGAAAATTACAAATTCCTTTGATCAAATAATTTAAAAACGCTTTCAAAAACACTTTGTTTTCCATTTTTGTTAAATCCAGAAAATTTTCAATAACTGATTCAAACTTCAAAGTGCCAGTGGAAGTTGTTCAATTGAACTCTAATACTTCATGTAGACTGTAGTGTATTGATATAGTGAAAAGCATTGCCTGCCATGCTTGAACGACTGCGAAATGCTAATATGAACGCTTGAACGTCGAATGCTAATATGGTAGACCATGTTGTAGACAACGACTTTGTCGATTTAGAGAATATAGAGCCAGCCGGGCCCAGTGAACCAGAGTCAGCTGTAAGTGGAGATGAATCAGAAGACCTTCAAGACCAAGAAGGCAGTCAATCTGCCGCTGTGCAGGATTTTAACGCGGGAAAAGAGGAATCTCCATGGCCCGAATTGAATACATTTTTTAGTGTTTGTTGTAAACGAAACAACAACCTCTCGTTCGAGTGCCTTTTGTGTAAACCGAAGAAAACCGTGCATTCCACATATATTACATCACACCCCAACCTTCCGTGCAGCATGCAAGCATCATTTTATCACTAGTGGTCTGATACTGAGGCCTCACCGAAGCAGTCTTAATGACAAACATTTTGAAGCATGCCTCCTCTCAAAGCTTTTAAATAACTGAAAGTTTTTGAAATAAATTCAAAACATTATAATTGATGGGTGTATAACCGTTGATCGTTATCGTTTTTCTTCACTTTGCGAACACTGAACATTTATACAAAATTATGATGTGTAATTTGTAATTAATTACATTTTTAAATAGTAATTTTGTTACTGTAATTAATTACTTTCCTGAAGAAGTAATTGTGACCAGTAATTAATTACATTTTAAAGAAAGTAATTTTATTTGTAATTAATTCCTTTTTGGACGGTAATTTTGCAGCACTGAATAGTTGCCATAATGACTGAAGTGTTCATCAACATTGTTTCAGGGGAGAGGGGACCGACTTTACCAAGAATATATGAAAATGTTTCAAAAAATAATTTATTTGCCATGCTTGTCCGAGTAAATTTGTCTATGATTGTAGGTATGTTATTATACGTAATATAACATATATATAAGCTTCAATTTAATGTAAAATTCAACCACAAACGCTTCGCAAAATTAAAGTGAGTCGGCAAAACGTTTTAAAATGTTCTTAAAGCTAAACTGCCTTTTATCGAATTATAAGCATTGAATTTGAAATAAACTGATTTCGAATTCTCGCTTGAAAATAACTTTGCTTTCCTCTTTATTTAAATATTTTAATATACAAAAGAAAGGGTACGTATAATTAAGAAAATACACTGAAATTATCGGCTGTCTTTTTTCACTTATATACGCAACGATCGTATCAGTTTTTAAAGCAATTATAAAACAAACAATACATCAATATTAAAAACAAACTTACCTTCATTATGTCGGCGACTTTGCTGAAGTTTGCTCCATTCTATTAAACGTTTTTAAACTTTTTTGGCTCTCAGAAAGGTTTTGAAAGTTACAAAATCTTGCAAAAATACAACTTGCAAGAAATGTTTGTTATTTCGCTGTTGTCATGCAGTCGTTATAATCAGAGAGGAGAGACATACAGAGCTGTAACTGACCGTTGTAAACACTGCAACCTCGTACCCAGGGCTTCTGCGCTTATTGCTCTCAGAAGCCCTGGGATAATCCAACTCAGAACGTGATTTGATTGGTTAATGCGAATACAATGAAAGTACCGGAAGTTATTCATTAACCGGGTGATATTTTGGCAACATGGCTGCTATCACAAGGAGTGTATACAAAAGTTAAATGCTGGTTTTTGCATGAAAATACTTTTTTAAGCCAAATTCTGGGCTATTTTGAAAAGAGCAAAAGAAGAAATGGACTATTTGTATTTGTAAATAAGCAAGAATGGCGAACAAAGTAAAAAATTAACATAATAAAGCGAAACATTTCTCGTTCGAAAAATATTGAAATTTCAAAATCAAGTATAAATCTACAACTTCAACCACGATATTCAATGTAAATATTACATAATAAAGTTTTTAATACCTTTTTTACCTTTATTTGATAAATTGTGTGTTCTATATTATTGCATTTTGTATTGGAATAGGATAAATTATTAATTATACACAAATATTTAAATTTGCAAATTATTTCCAATTTGAGGATGCTGGGTGCACTGCCTCAGAGTTTGTATTAGTCCCTATTTATTATTGAATTATTAGTGCCTCTAAATCTCTAATGTACAAACATTGTAATCTGTTACTTAATACCATAAAGAAACTGTTGATAGCACATATATTAAATGACTATTAATCAAATGAACTTAATTTTCGACTATTATATAGCATATTTCCCCCAATATTGAGGGAATAATTTCTCGTATTTATTTTATAATAAGCCAATATTGCCCAACTGTGAAGTAAATATTGCCTGACTGTGAAGTAAATATTGCCCGACTGGCCTAGTCTGCCCAACAATTGGGCCACGCCCTGTACGCCTATGGCCAGACCTACAGGTAGACCCCCAACCAGATCGGTCACAATTTCTCTTGCTCCAAAATTTCCCCTCCCCATGTACAAGGATTGACAATTTGACAGCTTGATTAGATTTGAAAAAAAATATGTTATATTGGGTCATTCCAGAAAACACCCATACCACCCTGACAAAGGAAATTGAAAGTTAATCCCTCCTACCCCTTTGGATGTCCTAATACATTTACTATTATCAGAAACAATTTTTCCCCCTCCCCCTCCAGACGGCAGAAATTTCCTCTGTGGGGGGAGTGTGGATCTTTTCTGGAACAACCCATTTGAGAAATGCCTTTGCACAAATTTTAAATTTTCTTACAAACACAACTCATCACTATGTCAGAATACTGTTCTAAGTAATTGCAACTAAAATCCAGAGGTTTAAAAGGCTCAAGTCAATTCCACTGGTGTAACCAGAAGGGGGGGGGTCAAAACATTTTAAATGTTCCGGACTTGTTTGCAATTATGTAGAGTTGAACATGTGTTAACTGAATGGTTATTTCAAATCACAAAAACACATTAAAATAGCCCCCCCCCCAAAAAAAAAATGGCAGTTTACAACTAGAATTTAAAAAGACTACATTGTACTATATTATACATGGATAGCTTGGGAGTCCAAATACATTTTTACATAATAACAAACTTATTCAAACTAGTGCAGGCCCCTCCTGCGGATTTCAGTCCCCCTTGAAGGCCTTGATTAGAAATCCTGGCTACATCACTGCTCAATTCCATTGCCGGTGGGGTTAGCATAATTAGACAGAGTATGTTAACAAACTACTGTGTATTATGAAATAATCCATTGAGCACCAGTGATCTATCCCAACATATAAAATCATCTGATGTTAGACAGTCAGAGTAAAATAAAAAGTAAGACACAATGTATAACTTAATAGGTAAGGTTAATAGACCTTATTCATAAATCGTGATGAGGCCTCGTATCCTAGGAAACGGGGAAAAACGCGGGAAAATTGACAAAATGGGTTTTTTTGCTGTCGGCTATGGCAGCTTTTTTTCGTAAATATTTACGGCTTTTTTCGAAAATAATATCTATAAAACTGAGTTTGAAAGTTGAAAAAATACTTCTGAGAAAATATTACATGATATTTGAAGCAAAAGATCCTGGAGTCAATTGAAAAAGGAAACCTTTGACTTTGTATTATTGTCGTAGTTTGTATGGCCGAAACAAACAACCAACAAGGCTACAAAACGTCTATACAATACCAAAATCGTAAGAAATATGAAACAATTGTTGAAGAAATAAGATTATAACTCACTCAGGTAAGGTAGCCTTCATTTTTTAAACTTGTAAGCTGCTTGCAAATTGTTATCGAGCCACAGCCATAGTTCACATTTTTTCGTACGAATCAATAACATTTGACGTTCTCTTGTGATTTTTGACTGTCATTTTCTTTCATATTTATGTCAAATTCGAAAAATTATACTTCCATTCCATAGTTGTCTTGATTCTTCACAGAATAAACCAGGGACGCCGGAACTGGGGGGGGCAGGGGGGGGGCGGCTGCCCCCCTTGCCTTTTGCTAGGGAGGCAGGGGGGGGCAGAAGTGTCCTTTTAGTTGTAAAATAATACGTGATAAATCACATTTCCAACGATGCTTTTTGTAGGTAAATCACGAGATTCAGGTAATTTATAGTTTATATTTATAAAAATTTTGGGAAATTTTTGGAATTTAGAAAAATATTTTGAAGAAATGGCGAAAATATGAGATATCCGGAAAAATTTTTGGCTTCACGGAAAATTTTGCTATGTCCGGAAAAAATTTTTGACCCCTAAAATGGTACACTGACCGAAATTTTTTTGGCGACGGGGGGGGAGGGCGCCAAAAAATTTAGCAGTGGAAAAAAATTTTTCAGTAAAGGTGCCCTTGGTGTGCGTCCGCCCCCCTTTGCCCTATTATCGTTCCGGCGTCCCTGGAATAAACCTTTATATTGACGTTAAAATCTCAGTAAAATACTGTTTTTCGCTTCTGGATAAACACCATCGCTACGTTGTCATTTTTTCCACACAAAAACGGGAGAAAAACCGGTCGCTTTTATAATATACTCGTTTACCGCTTTCGTTGTGGGCACAGAGTCTTAAACTACACACAAAAATCGTTATAAATGGCAAAAAGCAACAAGAAACAAGCGGTTAAAGTCGACACAATAGCATCTGAATTTGGCTTGTCAAGCAGTTTTCGCTTGTTTTCCCGCGTTTTGTTCCCGTATCCTAGGATACGAGGCCTCGTCACGATTTATGAATAAGGTCTATGGCCAGAACTAAATGATAAACAATATTTTATAATAAACCCAAATTAGTTCAGCACCATTGGTTCTTATAACACTGTTCATTCCAATATTAGAATATCAATTGTGATTAATTAAAATGTATTTCAGTTGGCAATTAACAAAAGTCGGAGTTTCATCCGATGACATGTATGCTTCTAACCATGCTGTCCATGCAGCTATCTGACAGTTTTAATTTTCAACATTCCCAAAGCCATTATTCTCAAGATTTGCCAAAACGGTTTTCCAAATAAGTACAGAATTATATTACATCACTCATCACTGTTCATTTTACATTCTTCAAGTAGATGCATGTTTACAGTACAGTATATCTTGTGTATTCATAATTAAATCTTGCAATATCTTGTTCAAAACCCTCAAATCCAAGATAATCGGCAGCCAGCCATGTTACCAGTAAGATTTCTAGTTTGTTGACCTTGAAATGACCAAGGTTGTACTCGAGTATAAATATTTATACTTTAATTATTGAATAGCCTCTGTATATCGCTGACAAGGTGTGCTTTTGTCGCGATATAAGATGTTCTTTTGCTCGCCAAAGGGCTTATTTTACGCATAATTGTATCTCTAAATTGATCATTCCTGACTTTAAATTCCAAAAGCCACGCGAGAAGCAGTTTAAGACGTCTCAAGACGTCCTCGCAAAATACGTCCTTTCAAAATGAAAAACAATTACTTAGACAGAATGTTCTCAGACAGAGCTTGTACTCGCGCATGCGCATAACGTCAAAAACCGTCCATGACATAAACAAAATGGAAGACAACTTTGCACTTCGCTATGTTTTCACATACCCGGGTATAATTAGCCGCGCGGAATTAGCACCCTCACACGGCACTTCGCGCCGTCGACTCGGGGATTATATTTTGGTTGTACAATATACATGGTTGTACAGTATACACGATTCAATAATTAATACATACGTCTGCACCAACGCCATCATCTTCCGGCTAAAAATGGCAAAAAAAATGAGTTGTAATGTAAGTTTTCTCGACAGCAAACAATTTTGCAGAGCTTTTGTTTTTACGCGATGAAAACAGTGCTACTTACAATTATTCAGTATTAAGGGGCATATGCACTGGCATATACCTTTAGTATAGGTCAGTGGGCATATAAAGTGAAAAATACATTATTCTAATTATAGTGCTATTGGAAAGAACTTTGAAAATTATAATGTAACATTGATTCCCTATAACAACAAAGTATTTTTCTTGAAATTGTTTATTTAATTAAGCCACTTGAAACTTTGTCTCCTAACTTTTGGGAAAATCAAGAGACCTTCTGTTTTTGACATACATCGTTTACAGAAAAAAAAACAAGGATAAAACGCTGAAACCGAATCGCGGAAACGGAAACTGAAAGCGGAAACTTGAAATGGGGATAAAACGCTGAAATGGGGATAAAACGCTGAAATGGGCAAATTTTATCGAATTCGTTGTTTGCTAGACCATTGCGAACACATATAATTTGCCTATAAAACTGAATAAATATAAGAAAGAAGTTCCCGGTAAAATGACAACCACAAATTTTTGAAGAACGAATTTTATCTGACAGTTTATCTTTTATTAATAATGTAATCTACAATTCTCTCCATATAACTTCGAACTCAACTTTTTGTGATAGCATACTATCTTGACACTGCCATATGGCTGGTATTTTGGGTGTAAAACCGTTAAACCGGTGTCACAGGAATTTCCCGGGAATTGTCAGGACACGTGTCTAAATCGGAAAAAAAGTTTTTTCCTCATGAATCATGAAAAATCATGAACTTGTAGTTGCAATGTTGATAAAAACAGGTTGCAACAATATTGTGCTACACCTATTGTTCACGAATGTTAACAATATTGTTCAGCATTGTTGCACTCTGGTTCCACCCCATTCAAGATGAATAATATTGTTCAATGTTGTTAACTGTAAAAAATAGGTCAGCATAATATTGTTGCAACCTGTTGTACAGGCAGTACAGTACAGTACAGTACAGTACAGTACAGTACAGTACAGTACAGTACAGTACAGTACAGTACAGTACAGTACAGTACAGTACAGTACAGTACAGTACAGTACAGTACAGGCAGTACAGCAGGCTTAGCGTTTTTGGCCGTGTAGAACCCACACTTCTCTATAGGCCTGTTTACACTTGCAATTTTCACTGCGATTTCTACGGCGATTTTTTAAAATCTCCAATGTAAACACCCTGCGATTTTGACTGCAACTTTGGTGCGACAACACTGCAATTTGCAGTGATTTTTCCATTTTACTGGCTTGTAAACTGAATTAAATTTTCAATACATGACTCAAGTTTACAAGCAATACAAAGATTTTGTTCTAATTAGGTTGTTTATTCTATAAGAATACAGGGTATAAAAGCCAAGGACAAGACTTACGTCATACAAAATGAGTCTGAAAAAAACTTTTTGTATTGAACTACCACTCGCACACAAACGAATAGAAACACCAGCTTTTGTTCTGAAGTCAGCGGTACAAAGACAAAGACCAAAATGAACGCGGTAAATATTTCTAGTATTGCAGTAGTTCGTTGTACTTCGTTTTTATTACCTCCGCCAGGAGGTTATGTAATCATCTGGGTTTGTATGTGTGTGTGTGTGTATGTGTGTGTGTGTATGTGTGTGTGTGTGTGTGTGTGTGTGTTTGTCTGTGAGCACGATAACTCAAGAAATACCAAACATATCCGTACGAAATTTTTTGAATGCACTTCCCATCGGCTAAGGAAGAACTGATTAAAATTTGGTTGAATTTGGTTAAAAATTGAACGAGAAATGAACAAAATTTTGTCTTGCTTTTCCCGGTCAATTAACAAAATATATTACTGAATGCGTAATTAGGACGTGTATAATTTATGCACTCAGTGCTAAGACAGTAATGAGATGATAAACCCCATTAAGCTTCGGCCTTCATTATCTATTGTCTTAGTTGCATTTCACGCGACCGAAATTCAATGTCTAAAACAAGGCTTACGGAGTTACGCATTATTACGTTCAGCAAAGTGCCAGTCCATTCAAATTCTAACAACATTAGATTACTTCAATGCAGGGTGTATAAAAAGAACGCAACCTCGGAATTTCCCAAGAAATC